TGCCCTCACGGCTCTGCCCCGGCGGCGCTCGGAGCCCGGCCCAGCCCCCTCCCCGTAACTCATCGGGGGTTTTCCCCCTGACCTTTGCTGCCTTCCCGGCCCGGTTCCCGTCGGGAAGCTCAGGCAGCCGGGTCTTGCCGCTCCCGCTGAGGGATGAAGTGATAAATGCCMTGGGCTRCACCACACYGGGGGAAGCGATAAAAGACCCCGGCCCGTAAATTCGACATRAAGCGTTTGCATCTCCCTGGCTGCTGTTTGTTGTGGCCTCTTGCAGCCGGTTGTAGGAAGACAGAATATACCCAGTTTTATTTGCAGCCCCAAATGACATGAACCCAGGGCAAGTGCAAGGCCAGTTACGCTCATTTTGCTTCTGCTTTTGTGTTCAAAGGTGCATAAAGGGGAAGTAAATGGCACTTCCCGAGAAGGCTGGAGCTCCTCTCCTTGCAGGTGGCCAGGAATGCATTTCCTTGTTTGCTCGGGACCTCAGTGGGATTAAAGCAGGCTCATTTAGCAGCGTGCTTTTGCTGCTGATCGAGARCAGCCTTGCTACTGCTCAGTCAAAGCCTTCCCCCGAGCAGACTTTGGCCTGTAATCGAGAGAGAAACAACTGTGCACCCAATCTTAAACACAACTAAAGAAAGATAATCAGTTTTGACTTTTACTCCAGGCTTCCATCTTTACAAGCAATTTATAAACATTAGAAAGAAAAAGATTAGATCAGAAATAAGGCAATAGATACCTCTGGTGGGGCTTTGAAGAGCCTGTTACTTATTTCCAGGAAGATAATTCTGCTGCAGATTCTGTCTTTGCTGTTCTGACTTGAACTGTTCAGGAGGCTTAAAGGCACAAACGTCAATTAATCTCTTGGGCATGCATGTGACCAGATTTTTCTGTTGTACAGCCTATTTTGACAAAATAGAGGAAAGTGGAAGAAAAGTGCAAGGACAAGACAACAATTATAAGTAACAGGAAGTAGGAAATGAAAGAATAAAGGGGGAGGAATCACTGCTGAGTTTGATTTRTTTTTATGGAGACCCTGTCAATCACAAATCCATTTGAAAATCCACAATCTTCAAACAAAGAAGATKCTTGAATTATATAAATAACACATATGAAAACTTTAACAAACCTCAGCCTCCAGTAATGTAATAGGGAGTAAAAGAGAAAAGGTAAGGAAGACTAAAACACTTTGTCATCAAAAGGCAGTGATTATCCAAATGTACAGTAAAAACTTGGTAACTGAAGAAAAAAATGAGAAGGAAGAGGTAATGTGAGATATTTTGACCTGAAATACAGTCTTGATATGATTCAAACAAGGAAAGCAAATATGTGCCTTGTTTATTTAATGATATGCAGTTGTTTTCATTAAAATGATTGTGCACCAGCTGCTTGTGCATAAATGCCCCATGGCTTGAGAACTTGTCAGTTGTTGACTTTTCAGTTAACTTTCTGCATACATTATATTAAATTGTCCCCACATGGCCTGGATTTTACTSTGACTCTGTACGTAGGAGGTTTGGTATGTTCAGGACTCAGTGGGTTTTTGGCACATGCAGTGATGAGCTCCACAGGGAATGTGTGGGAGTGTCCCAATGTGCTGGCTTTTGGAGGCATGCAGGGACTACCTCTGCTGTGTGCTCCAGGGGCATGCCCAGCATTGCCAAACCCATTACTGTTCCAACTAATTTATCTTACGTGTAGTGTAAATCTTCGATACACTTTCACAAAACCATTCTCAAACGCGTGGAAACCCAAATGTGTGGTAATGTTCTGAAACAGGTCTTATTTCTTTGCCTTTGTTTTTACACACAGCAGGGCATTTGTTTTTCACATCAGGGGCCCATTCCCAACCAAGATACTTGGGAGATATTGTGATCAAAATGATGGATGTAAAAGCTAGCTTGGTTCCCAGTGTGGGTAGTTTCAGTGCTCTGGCACTGCAGGGCTTGCCAGCTCCTCTTTGTTGATAGATGAAGTATTTATTGTGTCCTGTCAGGTGTGGATGGGTGCAGAGAGGCCTGTGCTGATGCTCCATGCTAATCAGGTACAAGCTGATCCTGTCTGGCAGCTATTTTAGCAGAACACGACACCACGGTTACACTGCGGTGTGGAGAAGCRAGGTGGGGAGAGAACTCCATCCTTCCAGCACCTGCAGGGAGGGGTAGACATACCCTTTCTTTCCTGGAAAACATAATTGTTTTAATCTAAGTAGCATCTTACATCTAAAGATTGAAGAAGGYTACAGAAACCCAGATGCTCACTGAACAAGGAGAGGCCCTGATAATWTATTATTCCAAAACCTCCAAAAAGTGATTACTGGAGAGACAAGTTCAGAAATTAATCAAAAGTAATGAGGCCACAGACATGTGAMTGGAAATGCAATGCTTACGGCACAAACCTGAAACAAACTGCAGACCATACTGGGTATGTTGTGCATCTGGAAGTATGAGAAATGAGCACAACAAGCATTAAGGGAGTCAGAAATCATGAGAAAGTCATTACTGCTTTGTCCGTTGGTAAACATGCCAGAGTTGCAGTAGTATTACATTGTTCTAGAGGCTTTAATTAGGACTGCCTGACCTTTCAGGGGTTAATGTGTTCACATGTTCATTGGCCTGAGGTGATGGGGAGATGCATACATGTCCCAATATATAGAACAAAATTCTCATGACAACACTGATGTTAAGAAAGTTGCAAACTTCTTCCTGTAAAAGATTAAGCATACTGTAACAACAGAAACAGCAGTATATAAATTAGATGCATGAAAGTGAGTGCAGATTTTTTTCCTGAGTACATATGCGTGTTATCTGTTTTCATTATTTAAGGATTAATTTCATCTGGTCCCAAAACCACTCATCTCTGGGTGAATCACCACGTGGGTATGGTCACCCAGCAACACTACACAGCAATCTTGATTACAAACATTTAAAGTTTGTTAATCCTTTGTGGTTTTCTCCTCATTACAATTTATAATCAAGTTTTAACAGGTATAAGAAACTGTGAACTGTGAAACAGACGAGTGAAAGTCAGTTGGGGAACACATTTCACTTTTAACTAAAGAAGCATTTTTGTCTTTGATATGGCTTAATGGCCTTTAGTATGCATTMTCTAATAAAACCTCCATATTTAAATTCAGGGTTTGGTCCCCAAAAAGTGCCACACTGCTTGTTTGTTCTTGRATTCAAAGATGATGTTTATGAGGAATTACTGAGGTTAAACGTCCCTCAGAGTGGCTTCACTCGTGAACGATGCAAATTCCCGATGTAACTGTATCTTCCAAGGGTTTCCATCTTACCACTGTGGCTCAACGATTGGACTTTAAATTTAGTTTTCATCTTTCTGTTGCTGTCTTGCATGACTTGGAYGGATGTTCCCATTGATGGAGAAGAATCAATGAAAGCTTTGGGAATATGTATCAGGGAGAGGGAGCAGTGGGGAACGCAGAGCTAGAGGATGGGGATTTGACCCCGCATCTCTGTAACACGGTGAACACCATTGCTCTGTTCATGGGAGCTTTCGTTTYACTCTTGTCAATGGCCACCACTTAATCCACATGAATGACATACCAGTCATCCCTTACTCTCTCTCCAAGTCCTGCGTACCCTCTGAGAACTTCAAACAATCATAGCTCCGTCAACGAATGCACTAAAAAAGCATTCGCTTCTTGCATCAAGCGCACGGTTTATAACCGTGGCATTGGGTATTTCCACAGCACCTCCCGGGACGGTACCCTCTCCAGAGAGCGATGCACATTCACTGCCAGCTCTGGCCGCAGATCTGCCAAGTCATGCTGCCCTTGCAGGGCTGCCACCTCCCCTCCCCTCCCGTCCGCTCGCGAGATCCGCGCTGCTATAAAGGGGGCGGCGCGGCGGGGCTGCGGCAGTCCGGCTCGAGTTACTGCTGCGGCTGTGTGTGCGGGACCGGTGCTCCGAGTGAGTGTGCGGGGCCGCGGGGTCAATGGGGGCTTTGCACAGTGCTTTTTTTTTTTTTTTTTAATTTTATTTTATTCAGTGTTTTCTTTGTTGCTGTTTCGGGGTTGTTTTTTTTTTGTTCGCTTTCCCCTTCCCCCTCTGCGCAGATGCGCCCTTGAACGAGTCGCGCAGGGCGAGCCCTTGTTTCCCGCGTCCCGCTCCCCGAGGATCGCGCTGCTGCGGCTGTCGCCTCCTTCCTGTGCTCCCTTTCCCCTCGTTTTTGGTTGTTCTTTTTGGCGGGGAGAGGGGGCAGATAAGGCCTTCCAGCGCTCCGGCCTTTATCAGCGCAGCGCGGGGAGGAGCCGCGGGGAGGGCCCGCGGGGGGAGCGCGCAGGGCGCCTGCCGGGAGCCGAGCGCCCCTTCCCCCGAGAAGCGAATCTCGCTTCTAAGCCTGACAAAAGAAACAAGTTCGAGTGCGGGGTGCGGCTCGGGGGCGTGCAGGGGGCGGGTGCCCGTGTCCCAGAGCAGTGTAGCGGCGGCTGGGCGC